ACAACTCAACATACAACACCTTAAAACATACAACTCAACATACAACACCTTAAAACATACAACTCAACATACAACATCTTAAACAACATAAATGTCTTCATCTTCAACATTTATTTGTGTTACAATACAAATAACTAAATAAAAAGTTGTTTAAAGTCCTTAAAAATGAGTACCGTAATTTCCAGACTATAGAGTGCACCCAAATGTAAGCCACACACACTAAATTAAAATAAATAAATAAAATTGTTCTTATATAAGCCATGCTTATAAGCCGGGGGTTTATGTTGTAACGTGAAATATTTGCACAGAAAGATTATTTCAAACTTTTAATTAAATACAAACATTACATTTTTTTCTGAACAATCATTTTAACGCACAGCTGGTTAAAAAATAAAATAAAATACAGTAGCTTACCTGGAAAAGTCACTGATCGCTATGTTCATCTTCCTCCTCTGCACTAAAACCAGTAAAGTCTTCTTCAGTGTCAGAATTGAACAGCCTCAGAAAAACTTCATCACACACATCCTCAGTCTCTCGTTGGTTGTCAAATATACAGGAAGTTATTGGTCACTATCTTCATGTTTGGGGGGATTCCCCCCCCCACCACCACCACCATTTTCTCCTCCCCTCCTCGTTTCATTGGTTTGACTGTGACCTGTTCAGTAATTTCATTAGTCAGATTTTTTATTAACCTTTATTTATACAACAATGTTCAGTCAGGTCATCTGGACAATATCTTTTTTTTTTTTTACCTGACTGAACATTGCTGGATTTTTTACCTGGATTATTGAGCATGAACCTTGATGTCTTTATTTATACAGGTAGTTTCATTGAGTCACGTGGACCCACCCCCCAAGAGAGACATGTATTGGACAGCTCTGTGAGCGCCCGGGTGTGACGAAGCTAAATGTTTTTGGCGGCAGCTCGATAACTCGTCAAAAAAAAAAAAAAAATCCATAAATTAGCTGCAGCACTGTTTAAGCCGTGGGGTTCAAAGCCTGTGAAAAAAAGTGGCGGCTTATAGACCGTAAATTACGGTATTTTTAAATAATAGGATTGGTTAAGTGATGTGCATTAAAACGTTTAGATATTTATATATAAAAGCACAAACTTGTTTTTATTTTTACAACTGCAGACACCGCTGACCGCTCTAACAGAAGCCAGCAGCAGCTCCTTCAATCATTTCGAGCACGGGGTCATTCGCTGCGATGACAATTTTTTCTGTCCAACTGGACAAAGTTGTTGCAAAGGACTCATGGGCCAGTGGAACTGCTGTCCCCACCAGCTGGTATGGATTGTGCTTTTGTTCAGCAGTTATTTTGGACCAAGAGTCCGACATATAAAGATGTAACAACAGTAATACTCTAATCACCTTCAAGTGTAATACAGCAGTCACTGTTTTGTTCTAACACTACGACTGATTTCAGGGCATGTGTTGCGCTGATGGGCAGCACTGCTGTTCGTACGGGTTCAAGTGTGATTCATCTTCCTCCAAATGCACAAAATAGAAACCCCCAGAGGACCACAGAACCAAAACACCAAGGACACATGGCTGAAGACGTGTTTTGCTGTCATTTCTGTTCAACACTTTGGTCACAATCAACCTTACAATGTTTTATTTTGTCGTCCAGGCTTAAATCACATCTGTCTTACTAAAGCACAATCGATGGATTTGTTTTCTAAACTGCATGATCTGGTTTTTCTTTACAAATAAAATATGGAGCCTATGATGTCGGCTTCAAATAATTTTCTAATAAATTTACACCATTTTCAGGATTTCTTTAATAAAAACAGTTCTTATTTAGATGTGTGGAACATGCTCCTGCTGCCAAAAGGTGAAGGTGGGTGAAGACGCTTTTGAATCTGCCGTTAACAGAACATCTCATGAACCACTGGGGATTCTCCTTTAGAAACATACGGCTAAATCTCTAAAAAATCAAACTTGACCTCTCTAAACAATAACCAGGCCAGGTAATGAATCTCCAAATTGCAACAAACAGCATATAATTTTATTTTATTTTTTGAGATCGAGCATTAAAAAATAAATATAAAAAATCATTGCGACTCTTTGCAAGCATGCCAGATGTTTTTGTTTTGTTTTTTGGCAGCACAGTGGTGCAGTTGGTAGAGCTGTCGCCTCTCAGCAAGAAGGTTGCCAGATCAATTCCCAGCTGGGGATCTTTCAGGGCGGTGTTTGCATTTTCTCCAGGTAAATCTAAATTGTCTCTAAGCGGCCCTGTTGTCCAGGGTGCCCCCCGCCTCTCACACAGTCATGGATGGATATGCTACCCAGTGACCCCCGCTGCACAAAAAGGAAGAAGAGTGTAAAGATAATAGATGGGTGGTCATATTTGTAGCATCATATTCAGAAAAATCAGTTTGGGAGTCTGGCAAGTTTGTAGAAGACCAAATAAATCTTTAAAAGGACCATAATTGGCCCACGAGCCACTAGTTGAAATATAAATTATGCTTTAAATGAAACACTAACACACATGATGGGCTTTGTTAAAATGTAATGTGCCCATTGGATCATGACCTGTTTCTATTTGTAAAAATCCAAGAAAGTTCAGTCAGGTCTGATGGACAGTTTCTTTTTTTGCAGAGATGTTTCGTCCTTCATCCAAAGAACTTCATCAGTCCAAGGAGCTGGTCCCACAAGCAGCACACCCACATATTGTAGTGGGTACATCTTATCAGTTGCTGGTGATGAGGTGGATTCTGGGGCCTGCCCTCTCCCCTGTCGACTTTTGATGTGGCTCCTCGGACTGATGAATGAAGGACGAAACGTCTCGACAAAAAAAGAAACTGTCCAGATGACCTGACTGAACTTTGTTGGGAGTTTGTACCTGGATTATTCAGCATGAACTTCGATATTTGTTAAGTTTCTGTGTGAAGTCAGTGATGGAAAATGCATTCGCTATTTTTGGGTAGGACGCAGTTTGTGACGGTAGGATAGTGTTTATGTTTTACCTTCTGTAAAGTTGACCATGTGTGCCTGAACGTAAAGCTCCTCCGTGTGAGGCGGAGAAGTCCAGCTCTCCTCCTCAGTCCTCCTCCTGACAGGAAGCGGGAGGTGCGGAGGAGTTGCTCCGCTCTTTTTTTAACTTCCTCCGTGGTAGTTCTCTTACAGTAACCCCGGGGTACTTATTACTGCCTCGTCTTTATATTATTATTACTTTGTCCGTGCCCGTCGTTTCGATGCTCCTCCTGGGAACATGGCTGTGTTAAAGATACAGGACCAGGTAAGCTACACGTCGAGCTAACATCTGGTTAGCTAACGCCAAGTCCCGGAGAAGTGACGGAACAATAGTTTTTGTTCGTGGATTCACAGCTCGTCTCGTGTTCTTCAGCTCCAACCTCAGTTTGACAACAGACACGGCTGTAGTTTTTATACTGTAGCCTAAACCTCTGGAGGCTAAGCTAATGCTACATAGCTTCTGCGGGTTCTTTAATGTGGCGTTAGCTAGCTAGCTAGCGGTAAAAGTACACGGGATTAGCATAACGGTAGGAGCATGCTAACATGTCGGTCTTTGTTCTGCTGGATCTTTTTAATGTACATGGACGTTTTTGCGCTCGTGTTTTCTGTTTGTGGCGGTGGTTATGCACAGATGAACACAGCTGGATGGCTATGAGCTCGTTAGCGGTGGCTAACCCTCCTGCAGACTTGTTTATGCTCATCCAAGAGTCGGCACTGCCAAGTTGAGTCGTGTTCGAGATGTTCTGACAACAGGTCGGCTCTGGGCTTTGCTCTGGAGGTCCTGCCTTGTCAGCTGTCTTTGCTGCAGCTGCTGCAGGAGATGAGGCTGTCGGGTTGAAAGAGCAGGTGGTGGTCTGAAGACTACAGCTGCTGCCAGAGACCACCACTTCCTCAGGTGGTGCACTCATGGAGTGGAGCAAGTTGTTCACATCACACACAAATTAAATATACACTTTCATTTTTTACACTTTGCATTTAGTTTTACCATACCACTTTATTTATAAAGCACTTAAAAACAGCAGCAAGGTGCTGTACAACAAAACAAAGGATACAGGATAAAATGCATGAAGGTAAAAATAAACTAATAAAATGATAAAAACAGTGAAGTTAAAATCGGTTTTGGTCTCTTGGTTTTGTTGCACAGCTCTTGGTGGGTTTGTTTTAAATGAGGACAAAAGATGAATCTTTGACAATAAGTGACGAGTTCAGCTTTAGCTTTCTGTTTTAGTTAAAGGTACATTACAATGTTATGAAGGCTGATCCCCAAAACATAATGAAGTAAGTACACCTGTGTTTTACTACGAATGACTGAAAACAGGTGATGTTCATGCAAGATCAAGAAGCCTGACGGTTTTGATTTATTGGTATGTATTTATGCTCAGATTTGAGTAAAGAATGCAGATAGTATGTGACAATTCTATTAATTATTTTGTGTTTAGCATCAGATTCACTTTTATATTTCTACCTTCATGTCTTATATTCAACTTAATGCTTGACCAATTCTACCATATCTATTTACCTACGACCAGCCTTATGTAGGTCAGTCGTGTAACTTAAACTTCCATGTGTGTGTTTTTTTTTTTTTAACAAATTCAGCTGTGCACTTTGCTTATTTTGGGTGCATACTTGTGTTTAAGAATTGCATAGCAATATATCCGGAAAACTAATGGACTGCATAATTTCTTTTAGAGTGCATAAAAGTTTCAAAACACCCTTTTTTTTTGTTTTATTTTAAACTTTGCAATGAGTACCTTAAACTTTTTAACCACAGTTCTAATCTAGAAATTATCCTATATGCAAATAATCAAACAAGTATTTTTATTGAGACACCAGTTCTTTGGAAATTAGACCTGAAATGGAGGATTAAATCTAAATAAGAGATTGACATTTTACAAAAAATGTCTAAATTATTAATATTTTATGTTCTCAGAGTTAGAATGTATTCTTATTGACTAACACTCCAAAATTTTCACATCTATGTCTATGGTCTTGTTCTTTTGGTCATTACTCAAAGTTTGTGACCATAGGTGAGGATAGGAACGTAGACCAACCAGTAAACGGAGCCTTGCAGCTCAGCTCCCTCTTCTCCACAATGGTCTGGCACAGAGTCCACAACAGGGATCAGTGCAGTGATCCGTCTGTCAATCTCACGCTCCAGTCTTCCCTCACTCATGAACAAAACCCTGAGATACTCGAACTCCTCCTCCACATGTGACAGCACCTAACTCCCAACCCAGAGAGGGCAATTCACCGTCTTCCGACTGAGGACCAGGCCTCAGATTTGGAGGTGCTGATCCTCATCTCAGCCGCTTTACTCTTGGCTTTGCACCGCTCCAGTGAGGGCTGGAGATCACAGCTCAACGGCTTCAACAGACAACGATTGTACCTAGTATCCAACATCCGTATCCATCAATTTTCTTTACCCACTTTTCCAGTCACTGTACAAAAAAACAGGGTACACACTGGACAGGTTGCAAGTCAGTTTTTGAGCCGTATAGAGACAAACGACCATTCACTCATCCACAACTAGGGACAATTTAGAGCTAATATTGAGTTAAACATTAACCTAACAATCGTGTTTTTGGTCTAAGGAATACAAACAAAGTACCGTAAGAAATCCCATGCATGCACAGAAAACACATGCCAACTCCACACAGAAAAAGCCCCTGCCTGGGAGGCGATCCTATAACCTCCTCGCTGAGAGGCGACGGCTCTAACCTCTGCTCCACCATGCTGCCACAATCCAACATATCACTGTTATTCAGAAAAAAATCAACTTCAGTTAAAATTACTTTGAGTTACCAATAACTGGCTGCTTTATGTATTGGTTTATATTTTGCAAACTAAATGGCTTGTCATTATATTTTCATAATGTAATGCAAACTGTAACATCAGAAACTTCAAATTCCTATTATTTTATAACTGACTTCAAGATTTGTAATATCTCAGTTTTATATCTCTTTAAAGTTTGATTAAAATGTGTCGCACTGAGCCACTGATAGTGCAGCTTTGTTGCCTGACCTGAACTGACAACAGACGGAAGAGTGTTTGTGATTAGGCCAAACTCACTATTCTTCATTGTTCTTCTTGCTACGTGTTGATAGAAAATGGACAAAAGGACAAAAATAGGACATTCACAGAGGCTGAACTGGAGACAGTTGACTTTTGGCAAAGACTTTCACTTGTTTGGCCTCTAGAGGGCATCCTGTTGCTTAGAAGCATGCTATTGTACTGACTAAGGAGAGAGAATTTATTTTATTTATTTATTTTGTATATAAAACATATTTATTATGATGTAAATACACAATGATTTTATGTTTGCTTGCTTGAGGTCATGTCTTAGCAACATGACCACCATGACCCTTCTCTGGCCAAGAGACGCTCCGAGCACCATATACCATTTTATTAGTAAGTAAGATGCATAAAGAACCTGTCTTTGGACACATTTGAGTACACCTGAAATATAGGGTTTTTTAATCATCTTAGGAAAACTAAAACTGCTTTTTGCATATGGAAAAAAGTTAGCTGTTTTG